ATATAATATAATATATATCCAGGATATATGTAGTGGATTATATAATATTAGAATAGATATATCTATATATATATGAGTATGAACATGTACATATACAGTTAACAGATTAGATAAATATCACAACAAACACATAAGAGATGTCAATATGTATATATATTATATATATAGATAAAATGGACTATATATAGTAGAATATATATATAATATAGATATATATACGTATAAATAGTCATACTATATTATACATATACTATATATACATACCTATAATATATAGATATAAATACCTATATGTATATAATATTGATAGGATAGATATATATATATATATATTATATATATAATATATAATATATTATACACATATATGGGGACGTACATTTATGCGTCCAAAATTATACATACAAATATATATATATAGATACTATAGATATATATATATATATATATTATATATATATAATATATTGATATTATAATATATCAATTATATATATATAATCTATATAGTAGATCGGATATATATATACACATACAACGCAACACACAACATATATAATGTATATATATATATATATATATAGTGATATAGATATATATTATATATAGAATATATAATATAATATATATAAATAGTATATATCGATAGATTACTAGTATATATATTATTATATATATAATAGTATATATAGTACATGATGATATAGTGTATTTTTCTAAGTATAATATTATATATATATACTATACTAGATATATATATAAATATATTATATCTAGTCTATCCCTATATAGCTATATTATATAGTATACCCACCTATATGGGATACAATTATTGTACAAATATACATCACAAAGTGTGAGGTATATATGTATATAAGATATAGCTATATAGATAAATAGATATATAATAATATATTATAATAGATATATATACATATCTAGCTACTACTATCGTAATATAATATATATATTATATGATATAGTATGATATATAAATTACTATTACTATTTAATATATATATATATCCACACTATACACCGCATACACACACATTCTATATATGAATAAATATAATATATATATATAATATATTATAATTATATATAGATAAGCACCGACGAATAGGTTGCGAGCCCCGGAAATCATGCGACAAAGAAACAGTGGATATATATATATATATATATATATATATATATATATATATAATATATATATATATATATATATATATATATATATATATATATATATATATATATATATATATATTTATATATATATATAATATATATATATATATATATATATATATATATATATATATATATTTATGTATATGTATATAAATATGTATATATATATATGTGTATATATATATATATATATATATATATATATATATATATATATATATATATATATATATATATGTATACAAATATATATATTTATATATATGTATATACATGTATATGTATATATAAGTACATATATATACATATATATATATATATATAGATATATATATATATATATATATATATATATATATATATATATATATATATATACATATATAATGTGTGTGTATGCATGTATGTATATATATATATATATATATATATATATATATATATATATATATATATATATATATATATATATATATATATGTATATATATATATATATATATATATATATATATATATATATATATATATGTATATATATATATATATATATATATATATATATATATATATATATATATATATATATATATATATATATATATATATTTATATGTATATTTGGACGCATAAATGTAGTTCCATATACATATATATGTATATATATATGAATGGTAAAACTAGTGGATACAATGAAATATGGTAGAAAAACCCACACTGCGAAAACTATATTGAAAATGAGACTAGAGTTTCGAAATCCACTTGGATTCCATCTTCAGGTCTGAAGAGGAAAGGGAGAGGAGGGGGTATAAAAGAAAGAGGGGAGAGTTAACGCAGGGACGCGGGACAGGAGAGGACAGACGAACGGAAACGAAGGGAGGTCAGGTGCCGGTCGGGTGGACTATGCGCAGGGTAGTCGGCATAAGGGAGGAGACAAAGGATGTGGGAAACGAGGAGACTATCATCGTCATCATTTGAGAGCTAACGCCGGCGGTGGCGTATGGCCGCATCCGCTCTTCGCTTCCACTTACGAGGGTCCCTCATGGCGAGCCGCCAGGCAGGGGCCCAGCCCATCTCTAGCTCCTCGATCTGCGGAAGGAAAGACAATTCGCGCCACTGATCAGTCCATCTGATGGCCTGATACCATACTTATGTTGAGACAGGTGCTTAGTGAGACTAGCGCCTGTCTTGCCAGAGTATTGCGTATCACAAGAGGCACAAGGAACAGCATAGGTGCCCACTTTCGAGGTAGAGGGAAGACTGGTGTGGACCAGATTGCGACAGAGAGTGTTTACCTAGCAAAAGAT